TTATTGATTTTGAGAGAAAGAAATACGATTGCTGCAGTCGCGTTCAAAGGATCATGGATCAGGTATCGTTTTTCAAGGTTAAAGTGATTGGTCCACTACATTAAGAACAAGAACACAGCATTACAATTCATGAAAGACAGGTGGTAAAATGAAGCCTGATTTGGTGTAAAAAAGGAGAAATATTGCACTAAATTGAGTGCAAAACATTTTGCAATATGCATGAACTGAAGAATTGTCATGGGAAACTGCCTATGTTTGCAAATAAAACAGAGATACTTTTTGTGTGCAAGAATTGGCAACGGAAGGTAAGGTCGATGTCTGATCATGGCGGGGATCTTTAGGTGATCAAGAAAGTGGTCTCTTACAGGAAAATGTAATCACTGAGGAGATATGGAGATAATAAAATACTGGGGAAGGAGGGGAAGCAAAATGAGAGAGATGACAACAGAGCGTGGACAAGAAGTGAAAAAAAGGATTGGAACTTCTAGGCATGCATTGGCATGTTGAAAACAAATATGCTAGGTATTCGCCAGTTAAATCCTGTGAAACATTCTGTAGATTTGGGATATCTTTATCATAGTTTGTATGAAGTAGCCCTAGAAAATCACAGAAGTTTATAACTTGTCAATATATTTTTGCATGTAAGTATCGCTGGTCACGCATGACTAACGCCTGTGCTAATGACGTCGCAACTGCTCGTTCTTTATTTGATATCATTAAACGCCATGTCATAAGCATTAGTAGGGAAATATACGCAAAAATTCTTCGCCTTAATGATCATATAATTTAAAAACTTAAGACCTTTCACTCTAGAAAAAAACTGAAACAATTTGTAAACTAAAAATGAAGGTTTGTTTATTGGACAATTTTTTTTAGGTTTGATGGTCTAATACAGGCGTTATAAAGGAAGTGGTTTGTTTGTTTTTTTTTCTACTCAGAAGTAGGAGTTGTACCTTATTCATATCTCTTCGTTAATGTCCACGCAAAAAAAATTTTTTTTTTTCATTTTAAAAGATGGTTTGAATAGATTTACTCTAAAAACCTTACCTGAAACCTTGAATTTTATTTAGTGGTCGATACATTGAGCGCCTCTTGGGTATTAAATATATTACAAATAGATAAAAAATCAAGCAAGTATAAGAAAAATATAACCGTTCCCAACATCGGGTATAAAGCACTTGTGTGCTTTTGAAAAGGCTCAGCCTAGGAGTGGATTTCGGGAGTCATGCGATAAAAGTCTAGCTGGGTTGCGACCGTCGAGAACAAGCCACTTCCGAGTTCTCGCGGTTCAGTGATCTGGTGACGAAATTACGGCGCAAGGACGAGGATAGGTGCGAAGTCGTCCTCATCGATAAAAAGAATAAAGTGTACCGGTGGTGAAAATGAGATGAAATTTCTCGAAATCCAGGATAGGAGAGTGAAAAATTATTTGCAGGAGAGAGGCATTCAGCTAAATAATGGCGGCAAAGGAAAGAAAAAAGCAGAACTGTTCGATATATGCAAGACAGCTGCAGCAAGGAAGCAGATTCAACCAGCCGATCTGCTGAAGACCGCAAAAGCTGATGGAGGAGAAATTACAATCAAGTGAGGGCAAATTTCTACTTCCTAAAATGTTGAATGCTTGGATGCACAACTTCTATAACTTTCCAAAGTTCTCGTTCGGCGTTCGCATGCAGCCTGGCCAAGCCTGGCCTCGCTATCTTCTTTGTCATCATTTACTCGTTGTTTTTTCTTGCTGATTCGATCTTGGCAAGGCTTATTGTAATTTGCGAAACGATCTAAACGAAACTAATTGGAAATCTTTTACTTGTGAAATGAACTCAAAATCTGTAATAAGCAAAATGGAAAGCTGTATTTATGAAATGAAAATCTGTAATTTGCGAAAGGAGGATTCATGCTGTAAACTCCACCAGCCGAAAGGATGAATCGGTCAGTTCGTCACTAGCGTAGATTGCAACCACAACTTAGCATATGATATTAACTATAATTAACGTTTGAACCCCAGGCTAAAATTTCTTCCGATTTCTTTCCATCTCTGAAGATTTTTGTTGTAAAAAAAAGGCAACGGCATGAGATAGCTGCCATGGTTTCCTGCTGAGCTTCAGGAATGCGTGACGCTTCCAGGTTAAGTGAAGTGTCATGTCACGCATTTGAATTATTCATCGTAAACGTTCAAGTGAATATTTCGCAAAGTACACCCCGAAGATTTTCATTTCGCACTTTCCGTAATTGTTATTATTTTTAGTTTACGTATGAAATCCACACTGGTATTGAAATGACCGATTCATCCTTCCGGCTGGTAGCTCAGTTTTCTGCACTTCTTGTGTAGTTAATTACAGATATACAGATTTTGAGTTCATTCACAAATAACTGATTTCAATTTCGTTTCGCAAACTACAGTGAGCCCTCGCTACGATTAAGCAAGAAATAAACAATGGTTATATGTTGACATCAAAAACAACTTAGGCAAAGGTGCGTGTGGACGCCGAACGAGAGCTCTGGAATGTTAGAAAAGAGGTACGTCCAAGCATTCAAAATTATTGGGACTGGAAATTTGCTCTCGCTTGTTTGTAATTTCTCTTCCTTCAGTTTTTTTTTTTTTTTTGCGATCTTTGGCAGAAGAGGCAATTTTCAGTGATCTGCCTCAGTGAGGCAATCTTTTTGCATCAATCGAAAGGTTCTACTTAGTTTTTTCCTCTGTCGCCATCACTTCCCCGAATACCTTTCTCACAAAAAATTTTTCACTCTCCCACATTTTTCGCTTATTTTCTCAACCACGGCACTGTATTCTTTATACCGATGAGAGCGACTTCGCACCTAACCTCGTCCTTGCGCCGTAATTTTGTACCAGATCACTGAAACGCAAGAACTCGGAAGTGGCCCATTTAAAGTTTAAACATATCTGAAGCCTCCTAACGACGTCATTCCTAACAAATTACATCGTGACGGCCCCCTGCGTCTACCCGTCCTTGATCCTTGTTTCCTGTCCTTGTTACACATTTATTAGTATTTTTACCTTTCTCCAAAATCATAATATGCACCTGCCTTAACTTCTAATAATTCATGTGAGCATTTTAACTCAAAAGACATTTTTGTATCCTCAAAAACAATGAATGTGTCTCAAATATTTTTGAAATAATTTGTGGCTAAAAAAAAGTAAAATTTGCTCTTGCTTTGACCTCCTGTAAAAATGGGATAATAAACCGACGAGAAGACTGAATTTATTTTCATTTCACACACATTCTTCCAAGTACCTTTCAAAGTTCGGCCAGATGAATTAGTTCAGCTTGTAAAAAAAATAGATCCATTATTAACCTAAGTGGACAATGGCTTCTTCAGGTGATTTTTGCCGTGAAGTGTTTAACTTAACATCCTTCACATAACTACTAATTGCTTGCAGAGGAGTATAAAAACCTACAGCTTGCAATAGACTATACCCCTGACAGTTCTGAGCCTGAAAGCGACACGTCGAAGACAACATTAAAAAAGGAAATGAAGATCCAGGCATTTTTGTTCATCACTTCGCTTTTGCTGTTGGCGTCCTTTGTTGAACATAAGGTGAAGGCTTTTGGGAATTCTTTTCCTCCTGGACGAAGACAGTTGTCATCAGAGGTTTGTTATTTCCGATAGAGGAAATTCCCTTGATGAAATATTTTTTGCCTGACCTTTTCATGAGCTCGTAGGGATTTAAGCCCTGGTTTCGTTTGTATATCATCAGTTCCATTAAAATCTTTTCTATGTTGCTTGAACTCGTCGATTGGCATTTAATCAATCCTCAGCAAGCTTCACTCTTTGTTAGTCTTTATTTTACATTTGTGGGCTTTTCATTTTCATCGATTAAAACTGGAAATTTCTTAATTTTTCTCCTCCAGTTTGAGGTGACATCGAGGAGTATATGTGACGCGGCTAGGAGTTTGGATTGTGCCGGAATGAAGACGAACGACTGACATATGTGAAGTCTCTATGGGAAAACGCCGACTAGGAGACAGACAAAAGTAAAAGAAATTAAACGTATTACGAGAACTTTTAAATGTGTGTTCCATTTCGTTTCTGTTACTTGTGGTTGCAGCTCAGTCTTGCGACATGTCATTTCACTACCTGACTAACACCTGTGGTCATGGCTGATTTAGCCTTAATTCACAGACCTGATTCATTAGCATGCCCGCCTGTTTTTTGAATTTTAAAATCACCTCTACCCGAGCCTGGTGAATTCCTTTCGTGCATTTATTAGAGAGCATTTAAATTGAGTGTTGTGATACAAAAGGCCATCAGGCAAGGAATGGGCCAACTGCAATTAATAAAAAAAAAACTAGAAAACTCCCTCAACCGCGACAAACGCACTTTTCCAAGTCGTGATCAAGTACAGAGAGCAGCTTTGGCTGAAGAGGTTCTCAAATATCCAAAGTAGGTTCCATGATATTTTAATCCAGCTTGTTTGTGCCCCCGCCGGCTTTATTAAAACGATAAAGAGTAAAGCGTGGCTTTTGTGTATTTCACACTTCACTAAGATTTTAAGGACATTTCAGTCCTTATACAGCTACGTTTGCTTTACGAGTACCTCGAATAAGAAATGAATTAACCACATATGTATGTCCTTTACTTTGACAAAGTACTATTTTTGTTGACCTCACTTGGGCAGATTGGGGTTCTCATGCCTTGGCTTCGCTTGGTAACAATAGTGGGACTCAATTGTTCCTTAAGTGAACACGAACTCTATTGTGATTTAGCTTTTCGATTTGCATCAAGAAGTTTGAGTGTGCTCGAATAAAGGCGGTGCTCGTCAGGTAGGATTGCTGACCAATCAATTCATTCTTACAAGTGCCCTTTCAAGCTCGGTCAAGTACATGACTATAACTAAAAACAGCAAAGATCAACATATAACCTGGCTGGAAAATTACTTCCTCAAGCGATTTTTGTCGTTAAGTGTTTCACTTAATGTCCTTCACACGACTACTAATTGCCAGCAGAGGTGTATAAAACCCACAGTTTGTCAAAGGTTGTATCTCTAACACTCGTGGGCCTGAGAGCGGATGCGTTGAAGATAACATTGGGAAGGAAATGAAGATCCAGGGATTTTTGTTAATCGCTACCCTTTTGCTGTTTACTTCTTTCGTTCAGGATAAAGTGGAGGCTTTCTGTGGTGGTTGTCCTCCTGGACGTAGGCAATTGTCGTCAAAGGTCAGTCTACTTCCGATGAAAGGATTTTTGTTGAAGTCTTTTTTTCCACTTTCCTGACCTATTCATGCAGGGATTTGAGTCCTGTTTTTCGCTTATCATTTAAATGAAAAAAAAAATAATAGGCTATGTTGCTTCAATTCCTCAATTGATATTCAATCCTTCCTATCCTTAGCCTTACTTTTTCTCTGTTCGTCTTTAATTTCCATTTGCAGTCTTTTTATTTTCATTGATTACAACCACAACTACAACTTTATTTTTCACCTCTAGTTTGAGCTGAGAGCCAGGAGTGTCTGTGAAGCGGCTAGGAACCTGGGTTGTGCTAAGATAAAGTTGGACGTCTGACACATGAGAAATCGAAAAGAAAAAACCTAAGAAACTAATAATAACGAAAGACAATACATGTAAGCGCATTACAAAAACAGTATGAATAAATGACCAGGGGAAGTTAAGTGAGTTAGTCATAATTTTTTATTTGTTTCGTTTTCTTTATGCTACCTGCGGCCGAAGCTCAATCTTGTGATATGTTATATCATCATATGACCAACACCCATGACCCTCGTTAAAATATCCTTATGTATACTTTATATGACGGATTCATTTGTATATGGGCCTGTTTTATGAAATCACCTTTACATGGGCCTGGTGAATAGATATCCAAGCATTTACCCATAGGGCATTTAAATGGCTTATTTCGAAGCCAAAACCAAAATCAAAACAAAGGCCCTTCAGGCAAGGAAATATTTTATAGGAAGCCAATCAAAAGTCGAGATAAAAGCAAGAAACTACCCCAAGCACAGGAAAACTCAACAAGCAAAGTCTTGATCGTGTGAATAGTTTCGTGTCTGCTTGCGTAGAAGGGTAGCTATGGATTTCGTCCAAACTCATCAATTTACTATTAAGGAACCGTTGAAAACTACCTTAAAATATCGGTTCAATCGATCCGCAATTAGTATACCACCAATGAACCATAACGCTGATAGCACAGATACTAAAAGACTTGAAAGATTTTCCAGTCTTGATTATTTCATAAACAATTTCAACTACTTTAAAGAAAATGCACCAAAAAGGGAAAATGGAAAAACTACAATTTAAGCCGGTACTGCGATACATTATTCTCTCAATCGACCAAAGAGTGTTCAATGATATTTCTAACGTCATGAATCTATCCCGTTTGTACCCCCGCCAATTACGCAAGCTTGACTTAAATGATTAACATTAAGACATGGCTTTTGTGCATTAGCTAAAAATTTTAAATATCCTTACACCGACTATATACTTACGTTTATTTTTCTGTATGAGTGACTGGAAGAACAAACAATTTTGCCACGTGTGTCCTTTAGTTTGACAATATCCCACAAATGTTGATCTCTTAAGGGCTTACTGGGGCTATTATGCCTCGGCTTCCCTTGGTAACAATAGTGGGGCTCAACTGATCCTTGAGTGAGCATAAGCTCTTTTGTGGTTTAGCTTTTCGATTTGTACGGAGAAGTTTAAGGGTGCTTGCGTAGATGCAATACTTGTCAGACAGGAATTGTGTGGTGCGTGAGGGTCACTGCTAGCTTTATATTAATGAAATGTCATTAGAGACATGAAAGTCAGCTAAAGAATAACCAAATAAACATGTCAAAGCCTCATACGGTAAATTGTTTGAATTGGCTATTGGCTTGCAAAAACTGAAATACTAATTGAGTTTCAATTCTGTGGGAAATGATTTTTCGACGATTTCTTTCTACTATTCATATGAAGAAGGGAGAGGTTAAATCTTTTTCAGATTTTCAATTCATTCATGTTGTCCAACCTATTGCAAGCGACCATTTTTTAGGCCATGACTCTGTTGTAGCTTTGAGTCTTCCCAACCACTGTCTTGGTGATTTTAGTCGTACAAATAAGATTTGTAAGGGGCAATTTGGAGGAGCTGTGTCTTACTTAGATGTTCAAGTAGGAGAGTGGCCACTAAAGGAATATCCCCTTAACAGACTTCCGTACTCTTTAAAAAATCAAATTCTATTTAGGTATCGATAATTTTAGTCCTTCTTTATTAAATGGAATTGGATTAAATCGGCATGAACACAAGGGTAATAGAGAGTGAATCGTTAAAACTCTCAAATGTTGGGAAGCAGAGCAGATGGATGGTGCTTAATGACTGAGGCACAACGGAGGGATTGAACTGAAGACTAATGGTTGAACTCGAAACCACAAAACAGCAAATCCATTTGGCTGGCAGCGTGGGCAAATCGAATCTGATCCCAAGCCTCTTAGCGGCTTCGCCCCCAACAATGGCATCATCTAGGCCTGCTGAAGTCATCATTGATATTTTAATACTATCTCCCCTCTCCGGAAAATATATTAAAAGCCCACTTGGTTTAAATTTATGTAAAATGGGCCAACAGTCCCTCCAAGTGCTCTTAAAACTTCAGTCAATTAGATGTTTAAAGACCAAAGATTTAGCTAAATTAGTAGCTCAACTGCATAATGGCCCTCTTGAGGGGTAGTTTTCTCGAATTACTTTACCTAACATCCTTCAAATGACCGACTGCTGCTCGAGGTCTATATATATTTATATATTTAGACCCAAAGATCTAAGTCTTTGAGAGAGTCTATGTTTGGAAACAGTGGGACAGTGGGCTTGTCTGCAACGGAAGGTTAAGAGATTGATTGAGTAAAAGTAAAAAAGATGAAGGTTGAGGGTTTTTTGTTCTTCGCTGCCTTGCTGATACTAACGACTTTTGTTAAAAACGAGGTTGAGGCCTTCGGTGCGGGTTTACCTCCGGGAAGAAGAGAACTGTCCGCAAAGGTTAGTAAAGTTGGAAAAGTTCAATTACTGAAATGTTTCGCATTAGTCTGATCATTTTCCTAGCCCCTTTTAAAATATAAATCGTCTTTTAACTTAATAATTTTTTTACTGAATTCCAGATATTGAATTTCTTGGTCACATCGATGCGTCATGATAGACCAATTAGTTCACGTTACTCAAAACGAACTTGCATACAGGATAATTTAAGTCCCTTTTTTCCAGACTTAAAGGAGATTCCTATTATTTTTTCCTAATAATACTTTCTGCGGAAGTTTCGCCGAATTTCAGTGTAGGTCAAGGGTTTTAACTTTGAAAAATTTAGTCTGAGATTCTCAAACTTACAATTAAGTCAACAAAATGCCTAAAACTTTTACATTATCCCATTATTAAGAATCAGTTTCCTTTGTTTAGGGTGAGATGACACCCAGAAATATTTGCGAGGCTGCCAGAACGTTGAATTGCGCAGGAATGAAGATAAACGACCCACAATGAAATACCCATAGAAGATGATGACGCATGTTGAGCAACCATCCACGACCAAAGAAGAATCAAGAAATTACGAAAACCTGCTGAATAAAAAGACCTATTGAAAAATTGATGAATTGTTGGTGTTGTTTTGTCGTGTTGTTTGTGCTTGCAGCCTCTGGAATTAGTGCCACATTCTAGATGATCTATAACCGCACATTTCAAATTTCCATCTGAAAGATTCGAGAACGATAATTAGCGATTCATGACTAACAAACTTTCCATCACTGATATAATTTCAGAAACTGGTCTGGATAAATCTGGTCCGTTCCCAATTGCACCTTTAATAAAAGGCTCGAGTTATAAATTCGGCCTTCTCCAAAACCTTTACCCTACGAAGAGCTACCGAGTTGCTGAAGACCTTATGGTTTTTATGTCTTCATAAATTCGAAACGAATGAGTAAAATCTTCCACTTTGATGCAACAATCTACAAGTGTTAACTATTTCCAGGAGGGCTGGCAAACCATTTCATTTTATCAATTGATTGGAAAGCCAGAACCTTCTGAAGCAAACAAAGCTCTTTCAATGCCGCTTTGAGTTTGACTTTTTTTGTTCGCGACACTTTGTTGAAAGGGTATGTGACTTCATTATTAGCTTTACTGGCAAAATGACATGACCTGAAACCATAAGCAGATGACTAAGAGCATAACTATATTGGAAGGCTCAAAGAAGACGAAATATGACGTACAAAATGTCACTTTCCATATTAGATTTATTTTCCTGATTTAAATCTTTGGCTTTTGGAACAGACCACCCTCGTTTCAACCGCCTTCCGTTTCTTGGTTTCGTTTCATTTCTTTAGCCGCGCTTATTTTGTTTTTTCCTGTTAACAATTTTTTTGGAAAGTCTAACAAAGTGTTTTGATGTACGCTCTTAACACCGGATGTTCTTGTTCACTTCTCCTTCGTTTCGTGCATAAGCCATCGTGCTTGTAATGAAATCGATGGGGCTAACGTTCCTTGAGGTTTACTCAATGCTAAATAATATATCTCTGATTACCTTTCGTTAAATTATTTGATCCTATTACGCCTGAAAAGAAAAGCAAAAAGATCACCTGATTTGAATTATAATTCTACAGAACCATGAGTGAGCTGGCAGGATTACCTGATATTCACCTTTCCGAGTGTACATTAAATTTGGTAAAAACTAATGGACATAAAACTTAATTTCAAGGGGATAATTTCGATCACGTTTTTTTAGGGAAGGGTTGAATATGACAGTGTTCACAGAAGCTCAAACATAAGGTTGTGAAAAAGCGGATCAAAAATGATGATACAGATATTTCAGTCCGCCGCTACTTTGCCACAACTCGCACCCTTTGTTCAAGATGCAGTACTTTGCCATTGAATTGAAAGTACGGTCGGAAAGGTTTGCATTATCATGAAAAAACAAAGCTGTTTATGAAATTCGCCGTCACGTCAGACTTAATTTTTTTAATTGTCCATTTTGAGATACCCAGTTATAAAAATAACTAATAAAAAGCCGCTATTGGTAACAAACGCAATTGCGCGATCCTAACCTCAGAAGTATATTTTTTTCTTTAAACATAAATGGTCGCTTGGAGTCTGATCTCGACAACAGAGCCGATTTCCAAGAATTAAAAAAAAATCCCCTTTTCAGATGAGACCTTGTACCACTAATGGCTGCCATATTAGTTGGATGGCTTCATCATAATACTGAAGGGGTTGAAAAGTCTTATGTTTATTGTTTGTTCGGCACGTTAGTTAGAACTCTTATTCAATAAAGATACGAAAACTGTAGATTTTTTTTCGGTAAGTTGAGTGTTTTCTATGGGATGCATTTGCAACGAGTTTTTTCTTGAGAGTTTATTACATCTTGACAGTATTTGTTTATCTCTCGGATAGAAGTAGATTTAGTAAAGGCACTGATATCCCATTTCAAATGCTCGCTTTCAATATCTCTCCTAAAAGACAAATGACAATATATCTACTTGGGAAAACAATACCGAACTATTGACTGTAGAAAGGATCATCACTTTTAGAACCAGGTGATGAAGTGTTTTTCAAAATGACTGTACTAATGGCTTACAAAGGTGCTAAAGAAAAAGAGACGCTAAACAATAAAACTTTGTGACGTTTCTCAAAAGCTTAAGGACTCAGCCATGTCTTTTAGAAGGCCTTCGCCATCCGTCGAAGAGTGTTCTAAGGCAGAAAAGAATGGGGGAGGAGAGGCTGCTGTGCTTCCCCACATAAGACTGAAAAGATCGGAGTTTAGTCCGGCTAACCTCAATGCTGAACATCAAATTCCAATACATCAGTATTTTAGGAATATTCCAGGTAAAAGTGTAAAAAAAAAGAAGAAAAAGAAAATTATGTACTACATTTATGATAGCGCTTCAGAGTTTCAGTTTCCAGTGTCTAATTTCGTATGAATCATTAAACCACTGTAAGTCTTTTTCAAGTAGATAATGGCTTCGAACCCTTCAAGGCAGTGAGGATTATTTAACGTAAAATGGTTTAATTTGATATTGGGCAGAGACTGATTACTGACAGGAAACTATATAAATATATGTGCATACGTTTATATCGTAACAGTGCAGAGGCGTGGAGCTGCAGGCTTGGTAACAGACTTGCGAAACAAAGAAAGACAGTTAAAAACATGAAGGTCCAAGTGTTTCTGATGATTTCTGTCTTGCTGATGTTTACTGGCGTTGTTCAACATTCAGTGGAGGCTTTCAACGGAGTTTTCCCTCCGGGCAGAAGACAGCTTTCTTCCACAGAGGTTTGTAGCTTTCTTCTCAAGGAAATGCAGTAAAACTCGATCGAACTTGAGATTGTTTGCAGCACAGATCCTAATTGATTTCAATTCCACATTATAGCAGATCACTATATTCCCTTCCTTTTCGTTTTCTTTAGTTTGAGATGAAAACCAGGAGTATCTGTGGACTGGCCAAACAGTTGGACTGTACGGGAGTGAAAATGGACGTCTAACCCGTGAAACTGAAGCCATCTATCAGAAAACCTTTTAAGTAATCAGCTATGATAAAATAAACACTTAAAAACCTTTGTAAGTTTATGAATAAAGAAACACCACTGATGAAAATCTAACAATGATTGGTGCGTATATTTCGTTTGAGTTCTTGACATACAGCTTTACCTCATTACTGTGATATATTTGTTCATTTGTGACAAAAATCAAGGGTCATTGCTGAAAAAACGACACTCTGCTCGATATAACCCTGATAGCACACAGGCCTGTTTAATACCGAATCAATAGACCTTTTATCTACCCTTTAACATTGCTCATCCCATCTGAAAACTTTGATAATAACCCGTAAACCGTTGGAAGTTTTCTTTAACCTTAATAAAAGTTCGACTACAGACACAGTTACTTCGAGAACCTTCAGCAACCCGATTGCATGCCCATCAAATCGATGGAACCAGAACGCGTGGTAATGTCACGAACATGCAATCATGTTCAAACGCGTGGCTTAGTCTTTGGGATCTCAAAACGCAGTCATTCTTATAATTTCATGTGAACCTTTTGATGGCAGAGTGTCAAGTTTTATAGTTTTTGAAGCTTATTTGTCCTTTAGCAAACCTTTTTTCGCGTGACCAGAGTAAGGAAAAAGGCCAATAAGGACTGAGGTACAAAAAGCTAAAGTTAATTCTCACCAAAGTGAAGGAAAACTTTTTTAATTGAGCACAAAAAAGCTTAAGTGGCCAATTTCTTAAGAATTTCAGGATTTATCTGTCTGATCAGTTGCGAAGCTAACGCGAGTGTCTACTTTAATAGCAAAGTAATGTAAAGCAAAATAATTACCATTACGAATATTGACATATTGGTTTCACTTTCAATTTCAAATTTTGTTACCCTGAAATAAGGTTTTCCTCCATTACGATACGTGCCACACTAAAACCACCAAAACAAAGTTAATACATTGTGTTTCTTGGAGCAAATAACTTAACAAATTAAGTTTGCGACTGTTGTTAATTCTCTTATTGTGAACTGTTCGAGTTGCCCCATATTTCCCTTGAAGAGTTTTGATAATCAGCATATGATCGATTGAGAAGCACATGGAGGAGATCATTTTCTGAGATAAAAACTGCAATTGTCTGCAGTTAATCTAACTTATAATCAGACTGTAGTAAAAAAAATCTCATGATTTCAAGACTCCAACTCTTGTTGTCTGCTTTGGTAGGAAGAAGGGTCGATTATGTAGTTGACAACTTCTGAGGTACATTTAGAAGGTGGAGCGTTGCTGAAACCCAGCCGTACAGTTTAACTTTAGCAACAATATAGCGCCATAAGGTTTACTTAAGCATATTATTAACAAGAGCACTAAAATCAAAATACAATTTTCCAAGCTAATTTTTAATTTTTGTGTCAAAAAGGCTTAACCACTCTTTTCTTTAAAGTGCCTATGACACGATTTTTTTTTTTTACGTTAATATTTAGCTTATCATATGTACAAACCAATTCCGATAGAAGAAAGATTTCTAAAAACTTAAAACTCGGTTTTTTCGGGCCCTAAAGTGCTCTTATTTTGTCTTAAAAGTTTCCCGTGAACTGGTTGACACTTACAAATCTCTCACATTTCTTGTAATTTTGTATCGGTCAGCGTTGAAATACTCTTGAAACAATGTCCAATAGCGATGTACACCTACCTTCCACAAGCTCTGCCGAAAGTTTTGGTACATCGTACTTAAATAGTAAAGAAGAAATGGAAGTTGTGAGTACGGTTTTACTCTACGAAGGAGAACCGCGTGCATCAAACGAAGATTTCGACTAAGACCGTTTCTCGCGTGCGGTGTTCGGGTCAAGATTGGAACAAAAAACTTCCGATACTGAATATTTAGTTAGTTGCATTTGTGTTTTGTTTTCTATGGCGAAATCTATGTTAAGAATGGGTAGCTGTGTTCGTTTTTGTTGACATAACATTTTATTCTTTGGCACTAAGTGAAGCGAAGGTTCCCCTTAGTCAGTGCTCTAGAGTTTCGTTGCTGTACAATGATTCCCTTTACAAACCACAAGTTAACTTTTGACGAAAGAATCGGTACGATAATTTTGTGCCGAGAAGTCATCGGGTGGTCTCACTGCAAGTTGCTCCTTTCCTCAAAAATTGCAAAGACTGAGGCTGTCGTCGTCGAGCCGGTCAAACGGAAAGCGAGTGAGTTTATCTGATTCAAGTTAACCTCAAATAGAGATTTTAATGGACAAACTTTCTTTAGTTTAAGTGCAGCATTGCCATATGACCCATTTCGTTCGATGGCAAATAACTGACACCAGTATTGTAAATTAACTACTCGTATACGGCAACTTTCAAACAGCGCTTGGATTCGCTGCCATCTAATTCAATAAATTTTTTTTTTTATATTTATCTCGTTGCAATGCTGTTATCACATTGACATTCCTACTGTTGCTACTTTAAGTTTCTTGAGGGCAGGGGAGAATTGATGGCTCGTGGGATGTATTTTCGGAAACTTAGGTTAGGAGAATACACGACCCCTTCAAGCTTTTGTTTGTGCCAGTATCCGCCAGAGGTTTCGCACTGATCACGCAACAGGATATCGGTCAGTTCAGGAAAGGGCTTAAACTTTATCACAAATTATGTATATCTGGTAACAAAATACGATGGAAACCACAGCTAGTAGGATTTTCATACGAAAAGAAAAGTGCAAATGTAGTCATGTGGAAAGACAAGGAGTATGAGTACATCTCAAGCGCGTGAAATAAACCCAAGGATAGGGATAAGGAGCTCACCATTCTTCGCTTGCGACATGTCGGCCGAAAATAACGTTGAGCAATCGTTTACGGTGTGGAAACAGGCTCCTTAATCAGCATTCTTTAAAGCTGAATTCTTTGGTTATCTTCCCCTGATTTGTCTCGTTAGAAATAATCGATCTAAGTGCCTAGCGAGTTCTCCTTGACCATTTTTTTTTTGCATTAAAAGTACGATTTGGCGGCCAAAAAAGTGTCCCCATCAAGCGCGCGGCCAAAACGATCATGTTACATCGTTGTGACATAAAGAACTGTGAAGACACAGCTACATCCTTTGGAAAGTAGTGTATAGAAATACCTGCTATGTGTTTATTATTCTTGTAGCTAACATCATTTGGCTCTCCGACCACGTAATACGTTCGTTCTATCTTCTAGATGTCTCCTTTCTCCACGTGTCTCTTGGCCGCGCGCTTGATGGGGACACCTTTTTGGCCGCCAAATCGTACTTTTAATGCAAAAAAAAAATGGTCAAGGAGAACTCGCTAGGCGCTTAGATCGATTATTTCTAATTTTGAATACAGCTATCAACCAGAAAATGCAAAAAAAAAATTCGTGTCATAAGCACTTTAAACAGGTTCTGTCGCTCTTTAGGTCTTCAGCTCGCGCTTCACGTTAAAAAGATAACGATGGTATTTGGGAACCTCTCCCCTCCCATCCTTTAACTGTTCTGGGGTTTGAGGCGTAATTTTATAACGCAACGAAGATTTGAAAAAAGTGAGAAAGTGAACTTTCGTGATGAACTTCATTTAAAAAAATACTGCAGGGTGGAAATCTGATAAGAACTAATTTTCTAATAAAATACTACTTATTTAGGTTTAAGCGGGGTGTTAAAGCGTGCCCCTTTGAACAGATAATTGACTTGCTCCCGACATGTAGTTGTCTGGACGCCATCTTACAGACAGTGGTGGCGCCATAATGATATCGTGGAGATAAGGGTTTAGTTGGGCTCCACTTTCTGCAATTGAGTCTATTACAGTTTAAAGGTGAGGAACGATCTAGAATAGTCACTTATTCTAAACAGGTCAAATGCAATTTATTCCATACTGAAATTTTGCTTGTCTTTATATAGGACCAAGACCCCCTCCCCATCTCTTCGGATCGAAAACGATGGTCTCGCATCCCTTCCCAAATCTTATAACCCAACTGAAACCAGGAAGGCAGTCAAAAAGACGCAATTGAACATTCTTCCCCCTCCCAACTACGTTTTCAAAATATTCTGATCATGTAAAAAACACATCAGAATCTTAATTCAAGTAGATAATGGCTCTGAAACTTTATCGAAAATGTAAATCTATCGTAAAGCGTTCAATTTGGGGGCATGATGAGATTAATTACCGTCAGGAATCGCCTTATAAATATTAAACCGAAGGAGATCAAATCATCATAAGCTTGTAAGTGTTAACGACGGGACTTGTAAAAACCCAAAATGAAAGTTCGATCGTTTCTTTTCGTTGCTACTTTGCTGCTTTTTACTGCCCTTCTTCAAGACTCGGTGGATGCGTACGGTGGAGGTCTACCATCTTCGAAAGCTACTACGAAACCTCCACGTTTGGAAGAAAGAAAGGTTTGTATTAAACATTTAGGGATAAAATATTTTGTCTTCGGTAAACGTTGAAAGTATTGGTAAATCATTTGGTAATCATATAACTTGACCACCGTACTGTCTTATTTTAACTTTTTCTGTGATAAATATATAACTTAAGAAGTGGCGAACTGCTGTATGCAGAGTTAGGAAGGTGAGGAATGGTTATGTGCAACATAGGTTTCATTGAACAAATCTATAGTTATTTTTCATTCAATACAGGTTATTTTTACAGTTACCTAATTATGGGAAACGCAGCGACTAGAGCTGAAGTATAGCGTGGTGGACTCCGGGTCGTATGGTCCCGGTTCTGGCCTCAGCTATAATCACTGGCTCGTCTTCATTTCCTGGTGCCTCTCTCCGCTGAGGAGTGTAGGAAAAGTAGCGGTGCACTTCTATGAAAATTTCACGAAACACGGGGGGTGGGTGTGTGTATTGACGGTGGGCTGGGGGGGGGGGGGGAATAACCGGTGATATGCTAACACTGGCTGGTATTCAAAAGTTGCGATTGGCACATTTCGAAGAAATGTTACCTCAGCAGTCTGCTGTCGCAAGACGCTCCTGCTGTTCTATATTTTGACGCTCGGCATCCATACCACTAGGATTTCTGTTCCACTGTCGCTTCTGATGTTTTCGATGTGAAGTCTTGTGTGGATGGCCTCTTTTGCCAAATAATGGATAGATTACATTGTTGTTCACTGCCACTTGTCTTCTTTTCCTAATTGTCGTTCAAGTTATAACGTAGTAATCTTATATAATTTATAATGACTGTGCAGTATTTTACTATGGAGTCAAGCTCGCTCACCCATTTATGGTTTTTCTCCTCTTCAGTTTATGCCGATAGTAAGAAGTGTCTGTGAGGCAGCCAGAAACTTGAACTGTGCGGAAGAGGACACGAAATAACTGATGTACAACTGAAGAAGACATCCATCATCTGAAAGCTTGTGCTCTTGTGTTACGATCGTCCATGGATAAGCACCAAGGACATTGTTACTTTGTAAAAGAAGAAAATTAATGAAGGCCAAAGATGGATAATTAAAAAGACAGCAAAATAATCACTGTGTGGTTTGTCAAGCGTAATGGGCACTAAACGGTAACCCTGCATGCCAGAGGACTAATCATGATTTAGCGCCTGGGGGAGGGGGGGTAGAAGAAATTGTCGAGATCACACGGTTTTCAGGGGGGGACCAGTTGTCGCCAACGGAGTATAAAGGAGGGATTATAGAAACTTGACTGTAAATTAACTGTCAATGGAAGAGGGGGGAGGGGGAGGGGGAGGGGGAGGGGGAGGAGGAAAAGAATATCACAGTGTCACAGGGGAAGCTCAGGTAAATTTAATCCACGTGACAAAACCAAAATCTTCCAGCGCCCCCAACCTCACCCCCCTCGGGCGATAAATAGTGATTAGACCCCAAACTGCTAAACACTCCCTAATTGTTGCCAATTGTTTTGTTTTCAACGTACTCTCAGCGAAGTAGGACGCCATCAGACGCCTGGTGCATTATGAAGACCTGTGCTCTTTCTCAGCGATGCGAATTAAATAATTTTTCTCCAAGCAGAGAAGCGTGAGCTTAGAGTATAGATAGTGGAGGCTTTTCCAGTTAGGATGATAGCTTAAAGTTTTATTGGTCAGATTTTTGGAAGGAACTGCGTCAATAACTGCAATGCGCCTGGTAAACACGTACAGTACCAAATCATGTTACTGAAACGTCTTTTTTTTCCGTTGAAGGAAATGGTGTGCTTTTCGTTAGACGTAGTACTTGAGATAAGATTACGAGCGTAAGAGGGAATCACTGTTATCCTTAATACATCAATAATAATAGTCTATAATACAGTCTAACCTGTATTAAGCGGCCACCCACGGGGAATGACAGAGTGACTGATTACAACAGTTTACCCTACAGAATAGGGGTATTATAAAAAAAAAAAGCCATTTTATGCCATACCTGACCACTTAATGTACAAAAACTCGCTTGAAAATACTACAAACATTGATTTCGGGAGAGAAATATGGATTAAATTTTTCTCTATGTATTATTCTTAGTTTTATTTGAGTAGTTCTGCTTCAAGTGACCGTTTAATACAGGTGGAAGACAATAGAAACAGGCCATTGGGACTAACTCCAAGGTGAGTGCGATCGCCGCGATAAAGGTGGAAATTACAGTGATTAGTAGGAAAAAAACTCGGAAAAGAATTCTGATATGACTTCCGTTTCCTGTAGTATGTATGTAGTATCCTGTTCCTTTTCCTGTCCTTTCCTGAATATTCTTACGGTCAACACAGTTGTCAAACGACGGGCATACGCGAGGGGATCAAATCTGGCCCGCTGCTTGCCGATTTTCCTCGCAAAATTGCGGAGGAAAAAAATGCCGCTGTCTCGCAAAATAAGCGAAAGAAATCGAAACGTCCATAGAAATTTTTTAAAGGAAATAGAGGTAGGGAAAAGGAACTCTCGAGACCCTTTAAACACAAAATTTATTCAAGTACGAGTATCCTATTGATTTACCATTCTGCTTTTAGATTTACCAAAAACAATATACGGTTTTAAAACACCGTGACTTACTAGCCTATGCGGTTGTAACTCGTGTGAGATAACTTGATTGGCAATATCAAACACACGTAAAAAAACATCGTATTTTTTCACATGTGTTGTTACGGCTTTTCTCAGGGCTGGAAATCCTTGTAAAACACCGCAGTTTATATGATGAAACTTGGTTCTGACAGCCTGAAAGCGCGCAACCTGCGATTACAACGTTTATACATGCGCAGACGTAAGACCGCTGTATTCGCGGAGTCGCGCTTGGTGAGTGACAGGAAATAGGATTGTAAAGATATGAAATATCGATCAATTAACTCACCAAAAAGAACAAAAATTTATTGAAACGTTTTATTCTGTTCAGCTGATGCGAGAACTAGCGAGGTCTAAGAACATCGATACCTGTTCTCAAAATAGGGAATACAATCCATTTATCGTCTTTCTTCACACAATGATTTTTCTACATTAAAACAGTACTTGCGTTCTCTAGAACGCGGTAATGTTGCAATTTATCATACTGTTTCCGATTGAACGGTTTCACCAATTGGGTGAGGGTTGACGGTGGAGCTGACGTTTCGATAACTGTAGTGTATTGAGAACGTGATAATAGCACTTGTACCAATGTTGGTAATATCACTGTGGAATGATATAAAAGTAGTTTAATCAAGTAACATAATTGTACCAGCTTCACGATAAGATTAACTTGATCGATGAAAATAGAAAAAGCAATGAAAGAGCGAGTGTCTCATGTAAATGAATACACAACAACAACCTTCTCCATCGCTCAGTGGTTGAGCATAGGAGCACGCCGGGAATTCGAAGGTCTGACATTCGATTCGTCGTGGTTGCCCAAAATGTTTTCTTTGTTCCTCGCCATGCCGATGAACTGTACATCTTTCTTTAATTGATCCTGTCGTTAGTAATTACCACTCTTCCTGATATCTTCAAACCCACCAATCATACTGGTAATTCCCTCTTCACGTTTCCACTGTTTGTTATCTAGAAAGGGTTCCATGATCCCCCATCTGATCTCTGTTAGTTCTGATCACCAGTTTGCTGAATATTTCGAGCATAAGTTTTATCAAAATCAATTTTGTCAATTTTATGGTTAATTCATGGTTGGAAGGTCTCGATGAAGATGAATTTTTAAAATGTCGATCAAGGGGTAGAAACTATGTAGTTTTTGCATCTTCTCACGTGAATTTTCTGCATCGATACACTTTAAACAACCAGTTGTAACACAACTTGAAGCGGCAGCATTTGATACCGATGCATGTGATTTGCGAATTAGTTAGATATACATTATTGGCTGTCAATGTCGCCACCAATCCAGTGCGACTTCCCTTTGTCCTCCAAAATGAAAAATAAATACAGCTTGTTTTCGTTGCTTCTCTGCCGGGGGTATAGGAAACAGCTTTAATGATCATAAATTATTCATACTTAGTTTAATGTTTTAAAGTTGTTTATATCATGATAATTTTATTTAGTTATCTCATTTGTATTCAGTGATAACAGACGCGAATAGATTGCTTTTATTCGAACTGCAAGCAGCCTTCCAACTTTGACGTTATTTAGCCCAGGGGCCATGAGTATTTAAATTAGTGTTTGCAGCAACATCAGAAGGTGGGTGAAAAAAAAACCATTGAATCAAGCCTGAGTGATTTAAGAATTATATCGTATGTGTAGTTGGCTAAAACTGCGACACAAAAAGAAAAATGGCCTCTAATAACGACATTAATTTAAGATATGATGTCGATCGTAGCAAATTTTCGATGCTTAACTTCGGCTCTAAAACTCGATTTTGGTGTTTAACTCTATCTAAACGGTCAACATTACAAATTTGTCAACAAATGTCAACCGTTTCTTTAAGGTAAAGTCACGCTATCGTATTATCGTCTGTTTTGTCATCGGGCGCTTCTCTTCCGATGGACCTTCTGCCTATCTGCTTGGTTGAAACTTCGAACGGTAGCCATATTCATGTATGCTTCCTTTGAAGAAGATTTTTCCATTGAGTTGTCTCTGTCAGTAGCAGAAAAATTGATCTTCGCCCGCCAGAAAACCGCGCGAAGCATTCCACTGTCAGTAAGTAGGCTCGCTCTAGTTTTCGTTCAGCGTTTGTTTTTATGCGACTTGCAATACTTTTACACAGCCAGGACCAAACAACTATTTTCTGCGTATTTTCTCTTCAATCGATCGTTCAATTGATTCCCTTCGAATATTGCTTTGCATATTCTTTCCTAGTACAATTTCCTCTCTCCCAGCACAATCGAAACATCTTTGGTTCACGTATGCCGATAGCAAAAGTTTCGCGTGCGTCACTGTGTTTCTTTGAAGACTTTGAAACTCTTCTTTATTTTTCACACGGTCGCTCGGTTTTTTTAAGAGTTTATTTTCTTAAGCAGCTCTTTCCTTAAGCAAACAATGACTGACTTCCTTTTTACTCCAGAGGAGCGAAATTGCAAATGAAGTCTTTCGAGAATTTTACCCTTACAGAAAAAAACTAATAAATTCTAAAACAGCCGGCTTCACCCTGCTGCCAAACCCAAAATTTACTGACAGTGATTTAGATGGTATCACATTTTTTCATTTCTGAGCCTCGCTTCTTTTATCCCCGCATACACAATGACATTTCGCAATAGCACTCGTTAAAGTTATTATGGCTTCCATGTTACGAAGTATTGTTTTTGTAACGGTGCTATGAATTTATAAGTGTTAGGTGTAAAGGTTAACTTAAGTTGTAGAGGGAAATTAGTAGAGTGTCATGGTTGTGCGAATGTCATTAGAGAATTTTAAAGCTGATATGGAAACAACTTCCTCATTTGTCCAGTACCATAGAACATTAGTGAGAAAATTTTCTTTAATAACAATTGACTAAAAGTAAAAGTAGTTGCAAAGGTGCAGTTCTTCGCCAATTTTAAGAGTCAGATTTAATTTGTGCAAAATTTTAGCCATACTCTTTGAATATAGACGTTTTCAAAATGATAATTTCGTGGATGAAATAGCACCATAACATCTTAACAGCGAAGTGGATTCAATGTAGGCATAATTTTTGTACTTGGTCTACAAAATAAACATTTCATGAGAAACATCATAACGTTGGATTCAGGCTTATGCTTCACTGTTCAAGTCAAATTACTCGCGGATAATAAAACTAGAGAGAGGCGCTAAGTATTAGCAAGTAAACATTAACAAGGCTTCTTTCGGTTCTTGTATCTCGCTGCAAAGGAATAAAAAGCGATATACTTTGTCTTTATACTACGACTTCAAGAAGTCACCTTAGGGTAAAACTCATTTTAGGGGACCTTCGCTTAGGCGTGTAGGCTTCGACTTGATGCCCAATTTGCACGGTTGGCGAGAGTTTCGCTTATTAAGTAGTTAACTTTGAAACCTGAACAGCTTTAGTTTCTGAATAAAATTTTAGAAAGCCAGCTTATGTCATTTGTTGACAATGTTCACAATTAGCAAATGCTAACATGTATTACCGATTTTAAGGGATCCATGACA